CATATCTTATACGAGTTGAACAAAAACATGACTGACATTTAATGAACACTCCTGTGACACAGTCCAACGAAGGAAGCTATGCTAAGACAAAAATATATTTAAATCAGCTGCAGTCTAACGTTTGCAGGATGAGGATGTGCCACTGTCACTCTCTCTACTCTGAGTAACGCCGGCAACATAACAAGTAATTAAAACAAACATGACCAAGATATTTACCAAAGAATAACTTCTAAGCCTAGTAATAATAATAATATCTTACTAATTCAGAAAGTCAAATAAACCTAAATTAGAATTAGTCTCACGCCAGCTACCTGTACAGTGATGATGATGGGATGGCATAGAACAGTAATCACTGGGGTCTTTTTAAGTGTGTAACCGTTTATTGTCCAGTCACACTATGCACCAAGTTACTGCAGTCAATAATAATAATTGATCACAAAGCTACAAATCAGTCTACACACCCTTCCACCAAAGAAGTGCCAAAACAGTCCTGACCCCAGCTGCCTCCAATCCCACAGAGGAACACTACATCAGAACAAACAACCATGTTGTACGACTTCTGCTCTGTTCATTCTGCCCTGGGTGGGTTTGGGGATCGTGGGCCCTACTTTCTGGGGGGGGGGGGGGCTTAAAATATATACAAATCTGAAACCAAAACCAAAGCTGCTATGTGCCCAATTTAAGATGGAAGTGAATTCTTGGCAGGAAAAACGCAGTACTGAAAGTAACAGTGTTCAACACAGCAGATGTCAGCCTGAGTACTAAAGAGGCCCAGAGAAGGAGAGCTACATTATCTCAATCTCCAGCTATGCAGACTGCTTTCTGCAACTGTCTCCTTCGAATAGCCAGCAGCCCTTTTCAAACTATTTCATACACGGACCTGTATCTACACATGTATGTATGAGAGGGCCGTTACTAGCAGCGGTATGACAATACAATGTTTTTTTATCTATCACTGCCGACACGCTGGTGGTAGAACCGGTGCTAAGGTAGAGAACACAACAGAAAGTCAAGGGCTGGAAACGTGAATGAAGCCACTCAGGTCGACTCGTCACAAAATGACCATATTGTACAAGCCTACAACACTCTCCCTGACCAACACAGTCCAGTACATTTACCCGTTATGAAAAAGTAGGTAGATTTACAAATATGCTTTTGGAACGTATTAAGCACTTTATAAAAACAGAAAAACATTTGAATACTTTAACACAACAGTAAACTGCAATCTCACTTTTGCTGGAAGTGTAGTTACATGAAAAGTGAAAACATACCGGTGAAGAGCAAGAGACGATATTCTGATGGCAACTTGTATTTCCTTCAACAAGACTGAGCATGTACAGGCTGAGCCCTTTGAGAGCATGTGGACGGACAAGCAGTTACTCACACTTTCACACTGTGTTCACACAGACTGGCTGCTGGAAGACCACAACTTCACGTTGAACACGAAGAACTCAAAACACCGAGGTTAACATTTAAGTATTTAGAGCCATCAAATTATATATGACATGGTCACTGAACTTCAGTATTGTTACAACTGCTCCAATAATGATGATGTATTCCTAAACTGAGGGAGATGCCTGCTCTTTCCAGGCAACGTTTTCCCTTAATTCTGGACTGATGGTATGCACCAACTACACTGAGAGATACACTGCATTTACTTTATTGATTTTTGTTTTGCACATTTGAGAATTTGACTACAAGCTGTAGTTAATGTGACTGTTCTATGGGTTTCCATCCTTTCATTTTCATGGACCCTAACACAGTCTCTCAGCTAAGAGGCCCAGAAAATGAGTGACACTTTAATGTTTCTCAAAAGGAACAACAACAAAAAAAAAAAGGCTGACAGCTGGAATCTTTTCCCAGCCCGGCCCTTTTCTCTTCCCCTGGTTCCCTTTTCCCCTCTCCACATCTGCTGCACTCATGTAAACCCCTGTGGCTGAGAGAGGAGAGGCCCCTTTCCAAGCCTGCATTCTACACCCCTTTTCCCGTCAGAGCTGACTGTAGGAACTATTAAAATGTTTAAAAAAAAAACAGGAGGGGGATGATGAGAAGAAAAAAAAAGTCAAGCAGTAGGAGGAAAGGAGCAAGATCCCTTGGTGTTGGAGAATAAATCACAAGAGCAATGTGAGCCCTGCCTCCACTGCAGAGCCCTCAGTGGCTCTTCAAAGACCCCTTGAGCATGCAGAGCCCAAGTCCCTCCCAAGGCCCCACCACCACCACCACAATGCCCCTGCCTCAGCCCCTCTGCCAAGCCTACAGCTCCATTCCTGATCCTTTTGCACACCATTCCTTGCGCTGACCCTTCAGTTAGCACAGGGACTCTCTCTCCTTTACTCACAACCTCAGGGCCCCTCCTCGGCCCCCTCTCCCACAGCCCAGGACAGAGAGACTTTTCTTCTCCCAGAGCTACACTCACACTTGCTCCAGGCTCAGCCCTGCCACTCAACCATGACATAGTCATTAAACACATGCCCCCTTCATAAATGGTAAATGGTCTTATACTTGTATAGCGCCTTTCTATGCTTTTACAGCACACTCAAAGCGCTTTCACATTATTCGGCCATTCGCACTCCCAAGCACTCACGCATTCACACACCAGTGACATCACCGGGAGCAACTGGGGGTTTAGTGTCTTGCTCAAGGACACCTCGACATGTTGACTGGACAAGCCGGGAATCGAACCGCTAATCCTCCGGTTAGGAAACGACCCGCTCTACCTCCTGAGCCACAGCCGCCCCCCCCAACTGCCTAGCATTAGACTAAAATGGTACACCACTGTTCGCCTAACTTGGCCAAGACTGCAAACTGTGCCTTTAGGAATCATAGTATTTCCTGAACAAGAACCACTGAGTGCAGCAACTGCCTGTAGTATCTCAAAGGTTCTGTGCTCATGTGGGTGTTACCAAGTTAACTGCAGCTCTATGGACAAAATTCATGAAAAGATGTTGATGACTAGGTTGGTAGTTAACAAACAACATGTAAAGAGACCTGTTCTGAAAATGTAGAGGCCTTCATACAGCTCCTCACTCACAAACCACAGCAAAGAATTTCACAGTTGTGCCACAAAGAGCAGGAACTACAAACCTGGCAGCCACAGCTTTGGAAAGCTGAGAGCTGTAGGCACACAGTCATGTTAAGTCACACGGTCTTTAAAAAGATGCAACTTTTAATTGCAGTTCATATCTGTGGCCTCAGCTGTAACGCTGATTCGGGCTTCAAAGGGTCAGTTCAAGTATGTAACCACAGTGCAATTCACAGATCTGAAACAGAATGAGTCAACACATGCTTTTACTTACTTTACATTACTTGCTCAATAATTCACCCGTAACTGCAGTAAGATTACTGGTTGTAGATGTCAAAACACTTGGTGAGACCTTACTTCCATTAAAGGGAACAGTCCGACGTTTGGCTCATTTGACATCTTACACAAACTGTGTCTGCTGTGTAGAATGCTCCAATATCTTTAACCTAGCATCAGACTAAAATGGTACACCACTGGTCGCCTAACTTGGCCAAGACTGCAAACTGTGCCTTTAGGAATTGTTAGGTATTTTTAGTCAGATAGAAATTGGATAGATACTTTATGTATTAGAAATGTTTAGTGGAGATAGGATGTCTAGTTAGACTGTTAAATGCTTAGTCATGCTTATGAGTTTCTACAGGGTACATCTGGTCAAGGATAACTAGAGAGAAGAGTTGATGACTGTCAGCAGACAGGGTGTTAATATTATTATAATGACGTGTATAACTGTAGCCTTAGCCATAATAGGTTCTTATGTTTAAGCCACGACATGTTACTAGAGGTCGTGAGAATGTTTTTAGCTACACACCACTTAATCAACAGACACACACAATCGAACCGCTAATCCTCTGGTTAGGAAACGACCCGCTCTACCTCCTGAGCCACAGCCGCCCCCCCCAACTGCCTAGCATTAGACTAAAATGGTACACCACTGTTCGCCTAACTTGGCCAAGACTGCAAACTGTGCCTTTAGGAATCATAGTATTTCCTGAACAAGAACCACTGAGTGCAGCAACTGCCTGTAGTATCTCAAAGGTTCTGTGCTCATGTGGGTGTTACCAAGTTAACTGCAGCTCTATGGACAAAATTCAAGAAAAGATGTTGATGACTAGGTTGGTAGTTAAACAACATGTAATCAGAACTGTTCTGAAAATGTAGAGGCCTTTATTTTTCCAGATTTGATAAGAGCTAACATAGCTGTTCCCCTTAGACTTTCAGAAAAGGAGCAATTTTCCAATCATGATTATATAGTGATGTAATCCTCTTTCTCAACACTGATAATATAATCCCTTAAGATGTGGCTTTGTGGAGACACACAGATGATATCCACTGGTAACATATGGCTGGCACAAGATGCTCTGGTGTACTACAGGCTGGATGCCTGCCAGCGCCACTGCCCTCTGGGACTTAGCCTGGTTCGCATTCAGTGCAGCTGTACGGAGAGACTAGTTAACAAAGACTGTAACTATTTTGCAAAATCAGCATCTTCTCACACTCACACCAATACTGGGAGTAGTTCATGCCATCACTTGACAATTAATTAGTCATCAGCAACAAGTCAGACAACTGGTGAGAGACCAAGGAGGATACACATCCATCCGCTCGGTATCACATGACCAAAATTCCATACTCAAGTTTCGTAATTAAAAACTAATCTCCATGACAACAAAGCAAACTCCATCTGCTAAAGAACCCCAGAGGATGTTGCTGAAGGCCCTGGAAAAAACAAATGAAAGGACCTTGCACTAAGAATTTTTGTCTATTAATTTACCATGTGAAAAATCTACCACAGCTGTCTTCGTTTCTTCTTTTCATTCTTCATTTGTAATACGTGCTTAGGTCTTAAGCAAAGATGGCAAAATTCACTTGTTTTAGCTTCTCAAATGTTATTTTGTGGTTTTCACACCTGCCTATGACAATAATGTGATAAGATCTTGCACTATTTGCATGAAGTTCTGTGGCGTGGTGTTAAACTCACCTTGCTCTGAGTCAAAGTCTGTATCGGCCTTGAAGGAGCCTGGAGCAACAGGTAAGGGTCTGAGGGGCCTTGGCTTGGGTGTTGGAGGAGAGATCCATTTCTTTCCGATGTACTCCACATACGTCCCAGGGAAGTCCCCCTTTTCCTGGGTGGTTTCATTGAAGCCCGGCAACCAGCCGATCTCATCGGGTCTCTGCTCCAGGCCATCAGTGTAACCAAGAGCCACCAGCGCTCCTTTGCTTACCAGCAGTATATCCCCCACATGCAGATCAATGTCCTCCTCCCTATCTTTCTTGTACTCATAAAGCGCTCTGTATTGATATCCTTCAGCACTCATACTGATCACTTCAACTCAAAGTGTTCTTTTGGAAGATGAGCCTCAATAAGCAAAGTTACTTTTCAGGTTTCTCTATGTGCTTAGTCCAGATACACATCTGCTGGTTCAAATGGCTGTGAGTTTATACTTCAACAAAAATGTAGTCTTCAACAGTTCTGTGGCAACAATATCTAGGTTGTCTTCATTCTTTCCCAAGTCCTGTTTCTTCCGAATGATTTACAGTTCTTGTGGTGTGTTGCCTTACAGTATGTACCCATCAGTAACTGATCCGCAGCTGTGATGTTGAGAATGCACTCTAGACCTGAAAGATGAGTCGTATACAATGTTCAGATGTGAAGAGACTGGGCTCACAAGATAAGATCATAATAATTACTACTGATTGCTCAATCTGCAGAAAGCAACTGTGGGTTTAACAAGTCAGGAATATTTATATTTGTAGTGAGAATACAAAACTTTTAACCACTTGTTTATGCTTTGTATTTACACCAACTTTGCAACTATATGCCAAATAGCAGGTTTCTGGCAAATATTTGCATTGATACAAAAAAATTATTAATATTTTTAACAAAGCAGCACAACAACAATTAGTCAATTGATAGAAACTGAAGCACAGTTTTTAATAGTTTTAGTTTTATGTAGTTTTTAAAGAAAGATGTGTTGGATTATAGGTCGGAGAATGTTCCCACACATGACAGCAACCTAAACATCTGTGGGTTGTGTGAAATGGATGCGGACACTATTACTGATCAGATGATGCATTTACCAGGTCGGGTGCTGCTCGGCCAACAAGGTTACTAACATTAGCATTATCCGTGACAGCTTAAATTCACATCGCTGTCACTGTTATATAACTAAATAGCAACCTAGTTAGTATGTTAACGTTTGCCAAATGTGCCAGTAGCAAAACTGTGTGTTTGACATCTGCATTGTTGTAAATGACTATTGTACATGGAGAGTCCAACGCAGTAACGTTACGATGCCAGGGAGCTGAGTGGTTAACAGTTAGCCAAGTTAGCTAGCGAACGTCGGCTTGCTAACATCATCGACTAGCTTTAATTTATTCTTTCTTCAAGATAATTACGACGAGAATTTAGTCTAACTTGCTATTGTACGTTGTCTTTTACAAGTATTAGAAGCCAACGACCGAGGCTGAAGTAGAGCACTAATGTTAGCTAACGTTAAATTAAGTTAGTAGGAAACGAACTGCAGAGCAGACAAGAGAGAAAAGACGTGCAATTTGAAAAAGACTGCAATTTAACACAATGGTAGAAAGTAACTTAACTTTACCTAACTACCTTCAGGAAAATGTATCGACCCAATAATCAGCTTTTTACATTACTACTTTTTAATCAAACTGGGGTAAAACTAAAAGCTACATTAACGCTAGCAGGTTGGACAGTAGTAAGTTAGCTACATACCGAGTGGATCCACAGGCGAAGCCAAGGAGTGCTTTTCCTTCCACACTGAACTCTTCCACTTCGTTAAACCTCAAGCTAAACCTAAACGGCGTACTGGCAATAAAATGCAAACATTCAACAGATCCTTTACCGCTATAGCTTAAAATAACAATCCCCCGCTTCAGTTTAAATCCTGTTTAAAGAATAGTACAAACTGTTACAAGCTACAATCAACCGACATAAAGGGTACCATGTCCCGAACAAATGTTCCCTTGAACGTCGCTCTGAGATCAACTAGGGGGTACGACCGAACACGTCCGCGCATTGGTCCGTACCGCTGTCAATCATCAACATCATGCAATCTGACCAATCATCTTCTCGCTAGTGGTTGACTCGTTTTTCCATGTACTCTTGCACGCAACACAAACCACCGATGGAAATTGCATAACTTTTGCACGCACTCTTACTGCTAATCGAAGTCCTCATGGTTTTATCATCAGTGCCTCTTCTTATAGCTCAGAAGGATTATTTTCACTGCATTATTATCCAAGGTAAAGAGCGTAGTGTGACGCTATCAGCTTCCCATATGTGTGAAAAGTTATAAAAGCGCCCTAGAGACTGCAGAACTAAAACTATAATCTTAATTTTTTGATTTACTACTTCCACACTATTTTGAAAGATGCCATTTGTATATTACATGATCTATTCACAAAAATAATATCCAGAACCAAATGTCTTCTGTGTTGTTTAGCATTACATATTCACAGTGTAGAAGGTCCCAAAATATTACTGAGTCATCATCTCTGGTGCATGACTGTGGGTGGTCTGATTAAGGTAGAGAAAGAGGGCTGGCTTGCAGAAATCCCCTATCAAGCATAAACTCTCCTCTCCCAGCTGTACTAAAACAGGCTGTAAGCAGCTTTGTACAGAGATAGGGCCCTTTCAGTGTTCTGCAGACACAGAGAAATCAGTGGCCATCACCAGTAAGAAAAGAGGAAGGAGTGTGGAAAAGAGCAGAGCTGGTGGTGTTGAAATCTACAGTAAATATAGGAACTTGAAACTGCTGGTTCTGATGCAGCTTTAAAAAAATGTACTTTTGATGTCTTTCTTTGAGTTAAATTCATAATTTTTGTCCAAAAGGAATGCTGCAATTTTTATCTACCATAATAACCTTTCAGCTATTGTTGACTGCATTTCATCACTCCACTTATGTGATTGCTTTGACAGGAGATCTATTTTTTCTTTTTCAAATGCCAGACCCAACTGTGCCCAGTGGATTGCCACTAAATATTAAAAATGGGTTTTATATTTCTGCTGCAGCTGATGGAAATGAGTATTTGAACCACCAGGCCATGTAATCCCCTACTCTGCCTACACCGTGCCCCCTGATTAAAGAGTCAATCTCTGGAGACCCATCTGCTACCATGGCAATGCCCAAACCACATCTCTGGTAAAATCTGGTAATAGACTGTTGCCAGACAAAATATATACGGAACTGGACTTCTAGTCATAGTTTGTGACATGTTTCAGGATAAGTCATAAAGCAAAAATATGCTCTACTTCCCATAAAGAGTTTGGCTTGCTTGCACAGAATATTGCACCAAAGTTGTGTCAATACTTGGTGGGTTAAAAAGGTTTGTGGTTACTCTAAGCATTTTTTTTCATCTGCAACAACAGGCAAGTGCAGGATCCAGTTTAGCGCCAAACTTAAGCTGGCAGTAACACAGTTTTTCCTTTTAATGGGACACTAAGATCTGCCAGCAAATCTGTTGCTCTTTTCTATTAAAAAAATCTTTTCCTCAGTATTTCCATAACTGCCATTTGTTATCTTCATCAGTTATCTCTGTGAAATGTACCCTAAATACATATCAAATTACTTTGACCCGTAGTTTATAGTTTATTTTTGTCAGAAATTATTTGCATATTTTATTCAAATCCTTAAAGCTTTCAGGGTCTCTCCATGGGGTAATGCTGTCTTACTGTAATTCAACACTAAATTTGTTTATACCAAGATGATTTGGTCATGATGTTTCAAGAGGAAATGGTTTCATATTGTAACTGCACAAGAACAATTTATGCTCCCAGTTAACCTCCACCATTAAAGCCCAGAGTCATGAAAGGTCCAATCAGTCAGTCCTACAGTCACAAATTCTATGCTTGAAATAAAGATGAAAGATTAGCTTTATGTGGGATTGTCATTTGATAGTAATATAAAATAATATAGTTGTGGGTTCTGTTCTAAGAAGAAGGTTTAACTATTTATTTGACTAAAACACTGACAGTAGATTAATTTAAGTTTTCTGTCACCATGAGAGGACAGCTGGCTTGGCACTTAACTTTTGTAGAGATTCGACAAACAAGATATAACTTGTCAATCCTACCCAGGATAGTCATTTCCCTCCCTCCTCTTCAGTCTTTAAGCTACTGTAAACTAAGCAGCTGCTGGTTGTTGCTTTATATTTAGCTAACAGATAAGAGAGTGATAGAGATCTTTTCATCTCATTCTTCGTAAGAAAGTGAACAAGCATATTTCCTAAAATGTCTAACTCTTCCTGCAGTACACTGTTCGACAGCAGTGTACAGCCACTTCGAGTTTACACAAAGCTATTTTAAATCCTGATTATTTACTTTATAAATGACTATCCTTCAGCTGTTTAAGCTGGTTATTTGCATAATTCACTACATAAACACTTTCAACTGGCAAACATTTCACTGGACAGTGCTTGAGGTCTACCAAACTGTCACACCTCCTCAGCTTTTCTCATGGTAATTTTCAAAGTATGATGAGCTCTCGGCCTCCTGCGGTGGTACAGCATATATATATATATATATATATATGTATATATATATATATACAAATGTAAATGTCACAGGATCACATGCAGGGAAAAGTAATGTGAGCACTTTTCCTTCATATGCATAAACATGCAGAAAATCTACACAGTGTTTCAGCAGACGCTCATTTGTGGTGCAAAAAAGAAGCCAGGCAACATTCTCTCTATTGTTGATGATTTTCTGCCACCAATTCCACAGCCTACATTTCAGAGTCCTCTGCAAATTATTTTACACAGTGCACAAACTTGCTTGTGTGCTTGTCAGTAACCACATTCCTATGAATGAACACTTCTCTCAAACATCATCTCATCAGACAATCAAAGCCTTCTTCACTGAACTCGCTCATTAATCATTCATTTTCAATATTTGTCACAGTTCCAGTGTTTTCTAGCCTATGAATTCATAATGCTCCAGAGAACATGCAGTACACACATAATGTAGGATAGAAACAGAAGCTGCATCTGATTATTTATAAATTATTTATCAACTGTACAACTGCAGTTAGCACAAAGCACTAACATTATGCTGGAGGAACTTAATTCCAGGATATTTCATGTCTTTTTACTGTTCATTATGTACATATTTTTAAACTTAGACTGCACTAACCTTTTTTGTTTTTTACAATTCCCCCACAAGAAAAAATGATTTTGTAAGATTGTTTGTTTGCATTGAGTCTCATTAGATGTTCACATTGTTCACCAATGCTGAGCAATCTAAACATTATGAAGGTATAAGATCAATATACAATACAGTGAGTCATGTATAAATACAGAATATCATTATACAGTTAACTTTTCCTGATTACATTAAAATAACCTTAGTTTATTTTTGTGTTAAGTGTGTCTCCTACCTTTGAAACTTGCTGGTGATGTATTTCTAAAAGTGAGTCTGTAGCTGTGTGCAGGTTTCTGTGCAGCTGCATGTGCAATGTGACTGATTGAAAGGTTTAACTAATGGAACACTCCAGATGTACTATTTGTGATAATAGTAAATGTGCTATGAAGATTCAAAGGTCAAAACACTGTAATATTGTCTTGTGTTGATATTTATCACACTAGTCAAGTTTAACAGATTAGTGCATTATGATTGATTGTTTTTTAATTTTACAATGTAAAAATGAGTTTCATTTTCAATATTATGCTTAATAATTTACAAAAGCCGCAGTAAACTAAAAAGAAGCAAAGAAGAAAGTCAGTGTTTTGTGTACCGCTGCATGTCAGATGAACACTGCTCCAAAAATCCACTAACTTCTGCCTTGCATTAACAAGATGACTTGGAACAAAGCACTGCAAGATTAATGAATAATGCTGGCAAGCTGTAGTGGAGACTGCTGGGAAATCACTGACACAGAGAGAAACCTGAACTGTCATTTAATGGGAATGCTTAGACTGTTCTTATCCTGTTCTTTCTTCTTTGTTTTTCAAATATGCTGCAGCAGGGTAGCCAGCTGTCAAGAGACATTGCTGCTTAAAAGATCATTTGATTAGTTTGCCATTTAGAAGAGGGTTAACCCTAACTCAGCACATGTACACACACTTCCTCTCTATTCCCTTTACTCCCCCCTTCTTTGCCTCTCTAAAACTGTTTTCACACATGAACTCTGGACTATGTTCGCGGACTCAGGCCCAGACTTTGTTGAGAGTTGCCCTTTCACACTTGTAGCACACAGCGGGAGGTAGTCTGTGTCAGACATTTTCTCACCTACTGAAAATACTCCACTTGGTTTATGCACAGGAGGTGTGCCTGGGTAGAGCGCCCAGGAAGCAGGACATGAAGCAGTCACGTAGCTAGTTTGTAATTTGGTCATAAATAACCAAGTCTCTTGCCTTGCTTCACAATTCTGATGCCAGCTCTTAATGACAGAAGTTCTTGAATCTTGTTGGGCCTCCAGTTAGATATTTTCGTTGGTGCCTATTTTGCTTCACTATTGGATGTTTGTATTCTTCAGGTTTTGCAAGGGTCACATGATAGGACATCATCAATATTCCAGACTATAGGCTGCTTTATTCTCACATGGGCTCCCTACAGCTCACTCGGACCTTACACAGACTTTGTACTAGGGAGCTGACAGAGAAAAGTCCGGGTCAGCTGACTCGAACATGTGCGTTCTCACATACAACTCCTCTTGGTAATGTCTAGAGAATTTCAGGGTTCCAGTGCATGTCTGAAAAGGGCTTAACTGACATTTCCCTCTGTGTTAACCCTTGTCTTTGTGGAGTGCTTATTAGTCCACGTCTTCCCCTATCTCTACTGCATGCTATGGGATCAAGAGGCAATGACATGTCACATAAACAAAAGAGGAAAAAATGGGCCACATCATGTGGAGGTGCAGCACAGTATGTTGCAGAGCCAGCCAACGCCTCCTTCATTTGATGTGCGTGCACAGGGAACAGTGACCTAGTTCAGCACTGACATGTTCATGACTGATGAGCACAGGCCAGTGATTTTGTTAGCAGAGATTGCACCCTTGTTCTGGGGCCCTCTCATTTGTAGCACTAGGGCTTGAAGCCATTTCAATAGATGAGACATG